AAGTCACCTCAATTTAAGGAATGTTTTATTGCCAGAATATCTATATAGCGTTCGTAACCTCTGCTTAACAAATTGTCAGCGTCTTTCTCTTGATATAACGACCCCCTCTCCCTTCCTTTGGAAACATCACAGCTCCAACGATGAAAATGAAATGGAAACAACGCTTGCGCCAACAATCGTCTGCTCCGTTTTACTTTTGTGTCTGCTGTGCGCTATGTTACAACAGATTTCAGATACAACAGCTGGGGAATGATGACGTTATAATCACAGATAATGGAATCAACGTATTATAGTACATACATGCATTAAAGTATTATATTGTCTGTGATATAATGCTTAGTAAACTGTGATTAGTAACCATGGTAGCTTTGTGGCTGTGATCGGGCAATTGAGTAGGCCTAAATATGGCGACTTGTTGAATTTGTGTATGAATTGAAGAGAAACCTAATAAAGAACAGAAGAACAAAGAAAAAGAATAACAAGATTGTTCTCGTGACATTCTTTTTTTTTTAAGAGTGTTTTTACTATCTCTAAATATAATTTTACACTTTATTACTTATCTATCAATTCCTATGTTGTGATACAGCACCTACCGGTAGCCTATCTGTATATCATGAGCAGTAGTAGCTTATAACACTTTCTAAGGTTTAATATTTACGTTATTTATAACAATGCAGTGTTTGGCTAGTTATTAGTTGAGTTGGAGTTAGCTATAATTTTAAACGTTCCCGTTCGTATAACTGAACCACCAAGATAAATAATTTAAAATCCGTCATTATTGCACAATAATAATGATTGTGCAATATTGAATTTAGTTTATAAAAATGCAAATCGTGACGTTAATGGCTGTTTACAGCGTTTTAATGGGTTTGTCATCTGTTTTTATACTATATTGGATTAACCGTATTTTTCATTACCTCTCCCCCCTCTCTTTACTAACTCAGGTAATCAAGTATCTACACAATAGTGTAAAGTATTGCAGCCTGCTACTTGATTTGTATTTTAACGAGCTTTATGTCAACAAAGTGTTCTGTGCTGAGTCGCGGTGTAGCTGGACGTGTCTGTACCACGCGTTATCTTTATCTATCACATCAGTTGAGCCATTCCGTGCGCTCCCTCTTAGATCTCACGTCTTTCTAATCTTGAATAATAACTTCCCACACGAACCCTAAACTATCCTAAAATTCTATTTTAATGAATTGATTATCGTCACGTTGAACTCTGTTGCAATTAACTTTAGCCACCCCCCCCCAATTTGAATTTTTTGCTACCCCCCCCCCCAAGAATTTCAATGACGCAGTCTGCGTCACAGCCCCCCCTTGTGGGCACCCCTGAAGAATCATAGTATAATCAGTATATAGAAGGGCCTCTGTGGTGAGAGCGAGAGCCGCCGAGGCGGGCCTCTTAGATTCTAAAAACAGCCCTTATTTCATACTATACTCCGCTCACAAAGTTTAGGTGGTTTTAGGGAAGGAAATAGATCACCTCTATTTGATCCTACGTAATAGTTCAATAGCTGAGGTTTGCCAAAACGTCAATCAGCTGCTGCATACATATTTTAGAAAAAAAGTTGTGAGGGAACTTCCCCTCAAACCGCCTACATTTTTTGAACGGACTATTAGTATTCCTTCTTAAATGTTCCATAACTTAATTAACTTCTCATATGTTGTGTTGGAAACTGGAAAGATTAAAAATCAAAAAGGTACTCAACATATTTTACTATAAAAACATACAATTAAAATTAACTAAAATTAAAGACAATTAATTACAATAATCATAAAACTTCATATCAGGCTAAAAATAAATCACATTTTACAAATCACATGTATTTACATTGACCTAAGAGCTATCCCAAGATGATTTACAAAGTAAAAATATATTAAAAGTATATATACATGGAATGATAGAATCAATACATCAGACAATATTACATACAATTAGATTACAAATAACTGATACTCGTAAATAGGGATGAAGAGGATATACTTGGCATCTAACTGACTCTTGAAAGACCAAGTTGTACTAAAGAGATCTACAAACAATGGGTTTATTAGTATATTATATAGTCAATGGATTATGTCTACAAAATGCAACTGACTGAAATTTACGAATGGAAGCCGAGGAGGTTAAAGTGTACCTAAAGGAAAATTTATTTCCTACAAGTAATAAAATTAGTTGTTTTGCAATGTTATAAAGCATGCAAAAAAAAATTAAATATTATGATCTACATTTGTGTCAAAAGATAATAAAGTTACATTTTGTGCTGCATAGAAGTCAAGTGCGTTGGCCAACCTCTTTCAATGGTATATGTGTCTGTTGAATCCCCAATCCCTAAGCTCAGGGATCTTTTTATTTAATTTTTAGATAATTGCTAAATCATCTTACAACATAGCAAGGGGTTGACTGATGACATGGCTACATTGACAAATAAAGGCATATTGTAAAAATTTGATGCTTGAGATCATTAAGTTGTAACTATCACTCTAAAAGTAATTTAATTAGATACATAACTATGTTAAGTGTCTGAATTTGCTTATGAAAACATCAAATATCTAGGAACCATATACACTGATGTAAGATATGATCAGGTTAAATTATCAAAACTTTTTGAGAACATAGTTTACAATACAGGGTGATTAAAAAAAGGATACCCCATTTTAAGATTCTGTATGCAATCAAAGAAATATAAATGACTATCTTATTGAAGTATAACATTCAGTTAATACTGCGAAGTAAGTGCATTGTTGATTTAAGTATGGGTCATGGGTCCTTACTTAAGGAATAGGAATGTGGGTTTAAAATGTAGATGGTTTACTTTTTCAAAATATAATGTTAAGCTATTTCCTTTTTTTACATGTTCACAAGAACTCTTTGAACACTATGTTTGAAGTAATAATATGGCCATGTATGTTTTTTGTGTTTATGGCTTTGTTTTTTTTTTACACAGACACAGTTTTCACTGAAAAAGCGCACCCTTGATAAAGCCACAAACAACTGAATGTGTAAAAGGGATCGGGGTCTGGCATGTACAATCCTTCCTTCATTTGCGTCTGTCAAGTGGCCTTATTAAAAGTCATGGCAAAGGTAACTTTTACAAGAAATTCCTTCTTAGTCAGTTTGAAAGCATTATGGACTATTGTGTAGTATGACAGTTTGACCAGCCAACTTAGCTTTGATAGTGTAGGTGCCCAAGTGAGCTACAACCATCTTGGACCCTGCTTATGTTTCTCATCAACATGATAGAGTTATTTTTAGTAAGGGTTTTTGAGGTGACGAACCTGAGTAGCTTAATGAGTTCAAAACTCTAATGGATACCGTGCTGGATTTACCAGCAAAAGGGGGCGGCAGAGGATTAAAAACTTAAAAACTTAAAAAAAAAATTTAACCATCAGTTTGCCGCGATTACAGGTGACCATAATAATGTTTCCGTGATTGCGGCCCACGGGCCATGGGAGATGTTCTCAATTTCACTGCATCTGGGGGTGCAAATGAGGATGTCCCTGTGATGGCTTTCCGAGTGGGATGTTTACGATTTTGCCGCGGCCGTGGGTGACAATGATACACTCATGATCACAGTCCACGGTAGATGTTTTAACACGACTTTTGAGCAACTGTGAGTGTCGATGATGATGTCCCCGTGATTGCAGCCCGCGGGGGATGTTCATGATTTTTCCGCGCTCACGGATACCTATGATGGCTTTGACTTGATTTAGGAGAGATGTCCACGATTTCATTCACGATCACGGGTGTCATTAATGATGTCCCCTTGATGCATAAGACATAAGGAATTTCCACCACAGGGGGGGGGGGGGGAGGGCCGCTCAACTAATTTGGCCTAGGGCCGTAAGTACCCTAAATCCGGCACTGGGATACAACAGAAAATACGCCCATTGGTAAAGAACCGAATCAAAACTGATATATAAACCGTTTCCTTTCGGTAACAAATTTGACACAACATAGCCATTTATTGAAACCTGTAATAGAATTCTTAAATATACATAGAATGGTTGGTACATATGCCTACCCACAAAAAATACTTTAGAAATTATAATATAGTAGAGGTGGGCATAAACAGAGTTGAAAAAAATAGCGTTGCACACTCTCAGTAGAAAGAGACATATACTTTATTTCAAACGTTGTTTTTATGGATAAAAACTGTTCATTCTTCCTCGAAAGTCAACCATCAGAATGTGCATATTTGGGGTGCTGAGAGTCCGCAGAAAAGAGCTGAGCCTACACTACACATACGGTACCTAAGATGAAGGTTCTTTATGCCGTTTCAGTCAATTAAGATTTTAGTCCTTATTTCTGCAAGAGAGCTTTCCGGAGATGTTTGAAAACTGGCTGTTTTATGATAAAAGAATATTTAAATTCTCTTTATTTTCTTTTATAACAAAAGAATCTTCTGTTTTATTTTGATTAAATACAGCTTTTTAAAATTGGGGTATTATTTTTAACCCTACAAACACATTCTCTACCAAACAAGATTAATTTTAACTTAAGTGATTACCCTTTTGTACTTGTTCTTACATTTATACTAGCTTAAGAAATGTAGAAATGAGGTAGTAGACTACCTCCCATTAACTGGTATTGGTGCTGCTGGTAACAAATGTTAAGTTCAAGATTCTAAAAACTTTTAAAAGGTTATTTAATTTTTTAAATCTGACGTAACAAGGCGTTTCTGTTTACCATGAAAATGTTATACAAGGTACAAGCGTTGTCAGTAAATTATTGTTTCCAATGAGCTCTAATCGCAGCCACGTTATCTAGTTCAAATTTGAGACTAATTTAGTGCTGCTTACTTTATCCATTATTGTTCTAGCTGGTTTCCACGCTGTATAACACTAAAATAATCATATCTTAATTTTTTATAAATTCAAACTTTTGAAGAACGGCACATTAGTAAAATCATTATAAGAACACACTAGTATTGTGCTAAAATGTTGTCCCATCAGGCTTAAAATAAGCCACTTACATTTTACTAGTGCTATTTTTAAAGGAAAAAAACTTTAACTTCAAATAAGTTAGTCTATGATGTCCAGGGGCAGTCTGGTTATTGTTAAAGGTATACAGAAAATATTATAAGGTCTCACAAGGAGTTCACCTTGTAGATTAGGTTTGTGTTTGGAAGATTTACTTTTCCACATTAGGTTATGATAATAACATTGCTATCTTAAAAGCCTTCTTCATCCCTTTGAGATAGTTTGAACACTGAGATAGATATGTATTATCTAGAAATCGTCATCTTCATCGTGAAAGTTGTAAGGAGTCTCGTCGCTGTTGATTGGCTCCACAGCCTTGTAAGATGCGGAGAATCCTTTACTGACAATTGTGTCATCCGAGTGGAAACGGACCAGGAGAGCCTCATTGACAGATACTATATCCGTTGGATTCTGCAATCAGAAGTCACATCTTCATCTGAGATCTGTAGCTAACTAGATAGTGGGAACTTCCATAATGTAGAGAGGATATGTGACAAAACTGACTGTAGCTCTTCAATTGCAAACATTTTTACAGTACTCTCCCAAATAACTGATGTTGTTGGGAACAAGAGAATCTCGGATAAATAACATATAGGTGGCTCAGATTTTGAGGTTAGGAGTTACGTTACCACATTAGGAAGTCAAATACTGTAAAATATATGTTTTTACAATAGATGGAAAATTTAAAAAAATGCTATCTCTGTCGAGATCTACGAGAGATAATGGAATTTTAATAACTCTTTCTGATGTAAGTGGCCAAAGGGCTCTTTCATCTGCATTATATTTGAATGAAAGATTTGCTTGAGTTGGTCCATATGGGTAGGATATGTCTACTTTAATATCCAAAAGTAAATGGTAATACATGTTAAGTCTCTAAAGGAAGTTGTTGAAAGGCAACATTTGTGTGTTGTGTAGGATCTCTGCCCATGTAGCACAGATGGTTGGGCCAACGTTGGCCAACTGTGGGACAGTTGGTCGATGGTTGGTTGGAGCTTCCACAACCAACCAACCGTTGTCCAACTGTATATCTCGTAGTTAGGCCAACCAATATTTACAACTGTGGACCAACATTGGTTCATTGTTAATGAAATAGCCTACATTAATATGCAATGCTGGGTATCATACATCAAGCCAACCGTTGTCCAACCGTTTTTCACTCCGTTGGACCAACAAAAGATACTTTTGTTGGACCAACGATGGTCCATAGTTGAGTTTACACGACTTTCATTCTCTGGATCTAGCTTTCACAACATAATTATAATAATGCAAATATTTTTCAAATTAAAATATTCTTTAACATATTTGCAACAATTTAAGGGGAAAGAGTAATTAATCATATAACAGTCAATTATAATAGCATTAATAATCTAACGGTAATTAAATAATCTATATTCAAATACCAGTATCCTCTCTAACTCCCCCCAAAAGGTAGTTAAGGTAGGAGTAAGGCAACCTCTGCAGCGACTTCTGGCAGAGACTGTACCGTTGGAGCTTATGAAACTTGGAGGTTATGAACCGCTCTGTTTATTTGATATTTAAACGTTGGAGTTTGTGAAATTTGGACATTGTGAAACGGTGCTTATTTTAAAGTTATAGTTTTGGAGTTTATGAAATTTGGAGGTTATGAAACGCACTGTTTATTTAATATTTTAGATGTTGGAGTTTGTAAAATTTGGACATTATGAACCTCACCCAGGTAAGAGGCTCATAAATCGGAGGACCCGGATTCGAGACCCGTCTGGGCCAAAAAATTTTGTTCTAGCTTTTTTCAAAATTTGTTTTTATGAACTATTTAATCAATTTACTCAACTAATAATTATGCTTTTCATACTAAATCTTTTTATTTTGTGTGAAATAAAACGGTTGGTTCGATATCAGTTGTGTTATGGTTAGTTGGCCATCAGTATTTTTGGATGGATGGGCCATTGTTGGACAATGGTTGGTTGGAAAACAGTTTAAAGAGGTGACATTTCTACCGTTGGCCAACTGTGTGGCTCCACAATTTACCAACGTTGGCCCAGCCATCTGTGCTACATGGGTGGACATGTTTACTCACAGAGTTGCCACAGAAACGACCGTAGGAGGGTCCACTAGCGTCTAGACCACTGTAGACCTCCACAAAGTCGTAACCACAGTCCTGCTCATCCTCCACCTCAAATGTGAGGAACGTCAGATGAACATTCTTGCCTGGAGGAGCCTCGATGGACCAATCACAGTCCGCCCGATTCTCGTAGTTGTGGTCTCCATACTTGGAATGGGAGTACAAATGCTTCACTCGACTTGTAGCTTGCAAGTGACCTCCACACACTGAAACCATAATCATTATGGTTAATTTCAAATTTGAGCAATAGTGAATTGGATTAACATTTTATCTCTTGCTGAAAGGCATTATAACTAAATACCAGTTGCACTCTGTTGTTGATTCATACAAGTAGATAGGGGAAGATGAAGGTTTGTTACAAAAATGTCTAAAGGACTGCCCTTTAGATGTGACAATTATCTGTCTTTTTGATAGTTTTGACTTTTCTCTTTGTAGGTAGAGTAACACAAAACTGATCCCAATGTATGGTAAAAAGAATCATACTGTTTGTTGAGTATTCTGCCAAATGCATCCTCATTGACTAACCTGGTAATAAATTAGTGTCTTCTGGAGACTTTGTACAGATCCTTAGACCAGGGTCAATAAGAAATTTATATGTCATAAAAAAGAATCCTGTAGTAATCCTTCAAATAGATCCAAATGATGTCATTCAACAGCATATTTTACCACATCTCATTTAAATAATAGTTGAGGGTTTTGGTATTGAATGATATGTTCAAGTAGGTAGGCTATAGGTAGTTGTATTAGCACCTGTGGTATGAGTGGCTACAAAGCCCTTGCGCTGTACAGATGCATCAGACTTGAACACCATAAACATCTGGTTGGTGGTGGCTATGATGGGGTGAGGGACCTTGGAGCCACAGAAGCGACCCAGGATATGAGAGTCAGTCGAGTCTCCATCATACAACACAATGTGATCATACGCACATTCCTGATGAGGCTCCATCTCAAACTCCGTGAACAACTGTAATCCAAATGAAACCTCAGTGCTTACATAAAAATATGAGTAACTTTCTTCACCCTTCACCTCATCACAAAAATATTAGTATTGTTCTCCATGGTGGAAGGGAAAATAATAGGTGTGCTATTCCCGTCATATGCTGACCTCACCTAGATTGCAAACACCATTTCACAATTTAGAAAAAAATTATAAAAACAATAACAATCAAATCAAAACAAATCTATACTTATTTAATACGCAAGCAGGATTTTTGTGACAATTACTCCTCCGAAACTACTGAACCGATTGACATGTTTTTGGTGTCATTGGAAAGAGCGTAACATGAAGTTGTGCAGGAAACTTTCTTTTTAGGTAAATAATTAGAGAGTGAGGCCCTGGGGCCCTTTAAAGTTTCGTATTTCTCCATAAGATTAACATGGGAAACAAACATTGTTTTGAATCTCCAGCTGTTGTCAGAAATTAAACCTCACTTAATAATTGGTCTCCATGGAAGCATGAGAAAATTCACAATGTTTACATTTGCTTTGACATTTAAATGTAAACAACCAGAACTGTCAAATGCCTATTTCACAATTTCAGACAGCTGATCCAAAAAAATAAAACAACTATATGTGGTAGGTTTATTTAATCTTAAACTTAATGATGGATTATTTATTATAAATCTATTTCAATGATTATGAAACAGATTTTTCCCGTTGCGAAGAAAAATTAAAAGTGAGAAGGAGAACATATGTTAATTGTAAATACCCCCGCCGCAGCAAACCTGCCGACTAAGCGAATTTCCATTTGTCTGAAATGAATTGATTTTCAGTTAAATATATTTTAATAACATTAGGTTTAACGAGTACCTAGGTTTGCTGCTACAAGGAAACTAATAAAGTGTGTTTTTGAGTAAAATATTGATAGCTTAGTACAAAATAAATAAATTTGCCAAGTTTGATCAAAATATATCCATAAACAAGCAAACTACAACATTTGACAATATTCTCCATAAGAATAACATGGGAATTTTAAATTTACAATTTTTTTAATTTTCTTCGTTACTAATAATCGAACAAAAATACTTTTATATACTAAATTATTTGTTTTTTTAAGCTCTTTAAAAAGGTCTAAAGAGAAATCGGGAAGTTTTGTGTTTTGAGGGTCAAAAGTGAGAAAAACAAATTTTTACCCCATAAAACCCCCCGTAAAGCCCCGTTCCCATGGTCCGATCGTGCTGGTTAGCGAACTCATTCAAGTTTATCCCGCTTTACACCTTTAAACCAAATTTCATCAAAATCGGACAAAAATTACTCAAGTTATCGCGTTCACGGACGTATATATATATATATATATGTCAATATATATATATATATATGTCAATATATATATATATATATATACATATATAAAAATTTGAACGAATGGTGTTTTTGGCCTCTGGGGACATCAAAATGAAAAAGTAAATAGGTCCCGGGTCTAGGTCTTACCGTGCCACCTACGGTAATAGCTACTTCCCTTTAGGGAAATTCGCTAACAGCCAATGTGTAAATTATCTATGTTGTATCAAAAATGTGTATAGTTTTGGATGTTGGTTTGTGTTTAATGATATAAGTTATTAATTATAGAATTTTTATTTTAAGGATTTGGCATATGAGTAAGCCTGTGATAAATAACACCATATCAGAGTTCTGCCAGTTTTTGCCTAACTCTGTCCTGTAGAGTTTAAAGTAGCCTACACCTTATTGTCTACAAATTGGCTAAATGTTTTAGGTACGGTATTTTATAAAAGCTGACAGCCTTTTTAAGTTGACTTAAATTGTTAAGCTTACCTTTTCCCATCCATGGGCAGTTTGATTGTTATAAATTAACCCTTTAAACTGGAATAGGAATGTTACGTAAATTTTGAGTATTTCCTTTAGTTAATAATCTTTTAGTTGACTGTTTTAAAATCATCGGAAATTATGACTGTTATTAGTTTTTAAGGTACTTCAGTATTAAACGGAGGCCACATTTTGTCAGCGCACTGCGGCGGTTATGTTAGGTTGGGTTATCATAATAGAAAGTATCGTTCGATTCATAACGAAGCGAGGAAAGTCCTACACACATAATATTTACGGTAACCCAACCTAACATAACCGCCGCAGCGCGCTGACAAAATGTGGCCTCCGTTTAATACTGAAGTACCGTTTTTAAAGTTATTTGTTTATAAAACACTCCAGTACTTATTTGCAATTGCTCGATTTCGAGCAACATGTAAACTAGTATATACTTATATGGCAATACAATCAGGTGATTTTTGTTTGCAATCTGGGTGACGTCAGCATATGACGGGAATAGCACAACTATGTTTTAGCGAATTTCCTTATAGGGAAGTAGCTATTAATGCTATTACCGTAGGTCTCATTGTAAGACTTGAGCCCGGGACGGATTTACTTTTTCATTTTGATGTCCTCAGAGGCCATAAACACTATTTGTTCAATTTTTTTTATATGACTATATCTATCTATCTATCTATGTATATAAACAGGGTGTATATTAATCCCCGCACCGGCTTAATATTTTCTAAATGACAACAGATAAATCAATAAGATTTGGTACATCATCAAAACCACACCTAAATGAAATTTTAACAAACTTAATGTACTCCTAAATTTGAGCATAAATAGAATGTTTATCAATGCATTTAAATTGAAGAAATGTCTTGCTTTGTACTCATAATATCTGCTATGTTAGAACTACTTCTCAGGTAAAAATGGAGACCTGTGCCAGATTTGCCACTTGGCTGACTAAGCCGCAGCGTTTTGTACAAGACAAAAATTGAATTTTTATCTTCTAAAACTAATAATTTGCCTCGCTTGCAGGTGGCGATGATGATGTGTCCTTCATCACATTTGATTTTCATCGATCGCGGGTAGCAATGATGACAACATCTCAGGTAGATATTCTTTACTTTGACGCGATCTGTTTCACCTAAGGGGCAAGGGATGCTCGGGTTAGTTTTGCCCAGGGCTGCAAGTACCCTGAATCCGGCACTGGATATGACATGATAAGAACGTTAGTGGGAATATTGTACATTTTCACGGTTATAAATACTTGACGAATAACCTATTAAATATTTATGTAAATTATTAAACAATAATTTTTATGTTACCAGTTTAATTCTGTGGCCAGGCGTGGTAGTAAAGTGCCAGACACAATCCTTGCGGCTGGGGTAGTAGTCAGGGTAGTTAGGAGAAGACACGGTTCCCACCGGGGCAGTCAGCTCGTACTTGCAGCCTCCCTCCTTGCAGTCGTGGCCGTTCTCATGGAGAGTGAACCCGTTGTGGCACCAGCACGAGTATGAACCAATGGTGTTGCGGCACTCGTGTTGACATCCTCCATTGTCTGTCGCACACTCATCCATATCTGATGACAGATCAACAGATAAATTAACGTTTTGTAACTACTGAGTACAACATTGTAATGTTCTTTGACACTTGCTACAAACTGCTCTGATCCAGTTGCAATGGGATATCATCTTGCCTAGAGGTTGTAGTACCTCTGTTTATATATCTGAAGAGTAAAAATGTATTGCTACCACTAAGCTTAGGCCAGTATAATTTTAGACACCACTGGCAGATATTTAAACAAAAATCTAGTCAACAAGTGCAATTAATGGGGTTTTTGTAGCGGAGATCAGAAGCAGTGTTGGGGACTTATGAATGACATTGTGTCATATATGTGGGATTGGATTATTATTGGTGGTTTGATCAAAGTAATTTATTGGTGTAATAAGAAATACATCTACTGCAGTGGTAAATAATCTATACTTATTTAATACGCAAGCACGATTTTTGTGACAATTACTCCTCCGAAACTACTGAACCGATTGACATGTTTTTGGTGTCGTTGGAAAGAGCGTAACGTGAAGTTGTGCAGGAAACCTTCTTTTTAAGGAAATAATTAGAGAGTGAGGCCCTGGGGCCCTTTAAAGTTTCGTATTTCTCCATAAGGATAACAAGGGAGATAATTTTTATTTACAGAAACATATGTTTGTTACTTGAAAATAGTCAAAGTCTACTACATAATAATTGCTGTGTATTATGACTGTTAATGTATACTACATTTCAATCAAGGATTGTGTGCCTTAAACTTGAATCATAATGGATCTCACTACTTTATTTTCATGCCGGGAATAGTAAAATTTTGTTGAGAATAAGTTACCATATTTAGAAAACTTTACTGTAATAATTAATTGATGTATTTAAAATCACAAATCTTTGACATTATTAATTCATTAGAAACGAAACAGCTGATCGAGAAATCAAACAAATCATCTACTTCATGTGAATAATGTTTTTACACAAACATAGTATTTTTTAACCAATAACTTGATTCTTTTTTACTTGTGGGTGTATTTTGAGTTTGCAGTTATGAAAGCACCAAGCCAAGTACCTTTTATCTAATTTTCTTTATAAACTAACAGTATTAATTAATTACTACATGAACTTTACAAGTTAGGTAATTAATTGTCAGTATGCCAAGGGGAAGAGTGGGTCCTCGAAAACAGTCGAAGGCAGAGGCACCCATCTAGAAAATCCAACTGAGTTTTTAAATATAGAGGCCAGTGGATTGCCAAGACACGGATTATACTAATAAAAGGAGGCAGTGGTTTTATTGATATTAATACATCAAAAAGGACCTCATTAATCTCACAAGGCTTCATGTGATTAGAACGGTTAACAACAATGTAAAGTAGAATGTAAAGTCCTGACATGGAACAAGTGAGAAGGAAATATTTTGATTTCGAGGATAAAAAATTGCCCGTCTGAAACAAAGTTACCTTTTAAAATGGAAAGATGCTAATTTCTGTTATCTTTGGCATTTGCAGCACAAGCACTTTAATTAAAGAGCAGCAATGTTCTTAGCCAGACCAATTTCAGTCACGAGCAACTATATACTGTATATGTTGTTTTAAGTAAGGCTACATCTTTTAATAGTAGGATAAGCATATTCATTACGGAAAATTCTGACCAGGGTAATATTCCTGAAGTTAACTTTAAGACTGAAATCGTAGTATTTATGGAAGTGCTTTTGTGAAAAAATATTGTTTTTTAGTGTTTATTTTTAAAAGTGTTTTCTTCAAGCAGCATTTTATGACCCTCAAAATATGCTACATAGGTATATGCTACATTCACTGCCTATTGGTTTGATATGATAAAATGTTTTGTTAAATGTGTTTTTAAAAATCTTAAAAAAATAACTACCCTGTAACATACTTAAACTTGGACACTTATTAATTTGCTAAATATAATACGCATACAGCTAGAAAATGGCTGGATTCCTCTTCCCTTCTAATGCTTTATTATTACTGTATTTAATTTACGACGAGCCAATATATAACACGATGAATTTGTTTTCTAAATTCATATATTTTTGCGGGGCATTGAGCCGCACAGGTTCACTAGTAAACTTTTAAGACGAGGAATAATTTTCTAGAAGTAGTACCACTGTTTTACAGTAGGCCAAAACCAAGGTTATTAAAAGAAAAAGAGGTTGCCTCAGTCGCACGTATGACGTCAGCCGCCGACCCGGACGGTGCTGCTTTTAATTCACAAAGCTGTCACCTGTCAAATTCTTTGTTATTGTTGTTATTTGTTTTTGTGTAAGGTCCGTGCGGTTAAGTAAAAGCATGTAAAAGTAAGCTAGCGGGCGGGAGTGTGACATTATCTGCCGATCTGATCGCCGCATTCTCCTTCACTCTATTACACCACATATTATTTTTGCATTTGGATGAGAAACAGCTCTCTTTGTAATGTAGCCTATAACTACTTTTCTACTGGTTTTCAGAAAAAACTTTACATAAACATGTTATTAAAGCAAATATTTTATTAAAGCAATACAAAAATAATTTTTTAAATTGGAAATGCATAAATTATATCAACAAATACAACATATGGGTGTTAGGTTGTTTAGTAGATTGCCAGAACGTGTAAAAATTCAATTTTTTGTTTTAAAAGTTTAATCTCATCTCTTAGTTACTTCACTGGATAAGATGTGTTGATTAGTGATCGTACTTATTATATACTGCCATTTCCAGTGCAACTTTCATCTATGCTTGATATTTTGACTAGGGATTCTTCTTTGTTAATCTTGATGTTGAAATTTTAGACAAAGTTTAATTGATGGACATGCGCTGGGCTTAAGATTCCTCTTTGGTGTCAGATTTAAGAGTTCCGCTTTTAAATCTCGTTCGTAATCGTTGTCAGTAAAATGTTTAGAACAAACTACTGAAGTACGAGGATTCAATGGATCTACGCGTTTAAAACAGTGGACCCATTGCTTGCATAGTTCTTCTTCCTTAGGAAAACGGTGATAAACAATTTTAGGCCTGTCACTATGTAAATCACGGGTTTTTACCCGACTATTATCACATACCGCTACAGCACATCGCTCACCAGGCATTTCAAACAAACTATAGTTTGATAAAGATAAAATGTAACAATCAAATTATATAAAACACAAAAAAATATAAACCAGAATGAAAATATAAACTTAAACAATAAAAAATATTACGCAGAATAAATTAAACATGAAAGAATAAGGTTACTTAATCGCACTAAACTAGCACAAAAACGTTTGAAGTGGACACTCAGAAATTACGTATTTTCCTAGTAAGAATGGTGGTTCTGTTTACAAATAAATAAATGAAAAACAAACAACAATAACAAATAATTTGACAGGTGGCAGCTTTGTGAATTATAAGCAGCACGGTCCAGGTCTGCGGGTGACGTCATATGCGCGACTGAGGCAACCTCTTTTTCTTTTAATAACCTTGGGCCAAAACTAACTTGTTATTACAACAATGCTGATTTTATATACACTGCATGTTTTTTTAGATTATACAAAAATAAAAAAATAAAATGACAAAATTTTTTCACACAGATAATGTTTTTAGCCTTTCCAAAATACTATTGCAAAAGGAAAAGTTCAAAGTTAACTAATGTTGATGATTATATGGCAGCTTCGTTCAACAGAAGAAAATCATATGTTTTTTTTAAGTGCTCAGTAGGATTACTTGGTAAATTTATCAGGGTCCAGCTGATTTTACCAGGCTCCAGCATATTCTACTTAGTCCTTTTTGTAAACACCCACTTTTCTGTCAATAAAGAGACCAGAAACCAGCTGCTTACTGTATAGTGTATGGAAAAATAGCTTTAACAGTGTACTAACCTGTAAAGAAGACAGCAGCAAAACCAGACTTTTGCACAGAGTTGTCCGAGCTGAACTCTATACGCAGAGAGTTGCCTTCAGAAGTGACGAGAGGAGGCAGCCTTGAGCCGCAGAACACGCCGTGACGACGAAGAACATCTGCAGACATCTTGCTGTGGACCTCCACACTGTCGTACTCACACTCTTGCTGTACAAGTGTTATAACTGTCTATTGATATAACTAGACATTCTATTCAGAATAAAACTATATGTAGTTGAACTCATTTAAACTGAACTGACAGAGTGAATTGCTGTTCATTACTGATTCCTCTTGTATACAACAAATATTTAACTAAAACAACTAAGTTATTTTTGAATTGGCTATAGTTCGTCCATATAGGTAGATGTGTACTTCAGTAGCCTATCTAAAAGTAAAAAAAGTACAGTATTTAGAATATCTTTACAACTGAGCTGCTACCAAAGACACAACAAACAAAGTAAATATTTAAAGAAGTATCTTCAAAGATTTAGTCATCAAAGCCAAACTGTCCTTATAAAATAAATAGAAACAATTCCAGAGACTTAAAAGGATTTGTGTCAATGTTTTTAAACACTTGAAAGACTTAAATTACAGTTCATTTTGTAGGGATATTTTCTATGGCGTAGCTTTGATATAAGGAAGCTATTATTAAATATGGTATATTTGATTTTAACTATATTCTATTACTGTACCATCAGTTTCTGAATAAGTGAAACAATGGATAGTAGGCTACATGAAAAGGTAAAAATCAAAGTCCATATCCAACCATTTATTGTTTTACAATCTTATATTCCACTATCACAATTCAGTTAAATGGAGGATACTACCTCACTCACTTTTTTAGCTTACTTTAGCTAACTACATTCTTTAGTAGTTTTTTAAGTTCATAATCTACGTAATGAATATCTACTACACAATTATAAGAAATTCTATTTCAACAACTATTCTATTCGTACCATTTTATTTGTGTTATGTGCTGATAATCCTGCAGGTAGCAGTTAAGTCTAGCACTAAAACTTTAAACCTATTTCTAAAATGACCATTATTTTAAGTAAAACTTTGAATAGTCAATCACATATGTGATGAGCATTAATTAGGTAAAATATATTTAAATACATTTTAATACATTATGTATGCAACAGTAATCTATGATACAAACCAATTGAAATGTTGAAACTTGAAACTGTGTAAAAATCTTACCTGGAAGAGCTGAAACAAAACAGATACTAGTTAGATGTATATTTCTTAAACTCAATTAAACAAAAAAAACCAAATCATTAAAAAAATAAAATATACATGATTTTCACAAGTTTCTACAGTGTGTATGTCATTCGTAAGTATAATTAGAGTCAGTGGCAGGATAAAGAAATTTTGTGTGGGAATTACTGTGTATATAACTGAACAGAGATTACTAAACTGACTGGGGATGTCTCACTGGTCTTTACAACTCTGCCGATCTGCAAGCAAAGTTTAACATTTTGTGACTGTCTCAATGGGAACTAATGGGCCCCACAGTCAACCTATACCTTGCAAATTTGTATGACCCTCTTCCATGGAAACTTCCTAAGCCACTCTTACCTACGTATATCTAAAATACTTTTTCTCCATACATTCCTATCAGTTAGCAATTAATTCGAATAGGGGTAGCTTCCTCACATAAATTTATTTGCAGAAGAAGATTAGTCTATGGCAGTAGTGTCAATTTCCCCTCAATTGGCAACTCTGACCAGACTCTTAGTCATATAGAAAAAAACTGGCTATAATAGTTGTAAAAAAAATAGTATTAAAACCAGGCCTTTGCACATAGTACAGGCAGGGGACAGTAGGGGGTTGATTAGGGGGGCACATAACTTGTGGTGGCAGTTATGAAAAGCTGACTTAGCTGCGACTTGAGTTTGATGGAAACTATTATTTTCAGACAGCCCTCCGATCATATCAAAAACCCAATGAACAAGGGCAGCTGAGACCCCTTATGTTTTTTTTCTAAATACCTGGATTAGTTTGAAAGAGGTAATCAAACTATCCCTATCATTAAGCAAAGTAATTTTTTTATAAAGAAAACACTTACATTGTTTCCTTCAAGATCAAAGTGGGTGAAGTTGAGGGTGATGCGGTACTGAGGAGGAGCAATGATCTCCCAGACACAGATCTTGTTGGTTGGGTAGAGTTCTGGGAATGAGGGACTGGTGATGGTTCCATTAGAGGCATCTATAACCCCACCACAAGCATCTGGCAAAACATAAGAGTGTCCATCAAGACAAATTAAGTTTATATACCTATCAATAGAAATTGGTAAATAAGAGGATCCATTTATAGACTCAAGGCTGTAACATTTATGATGAGTCTATCATGACAAGGAAGGAGAAGCAAGCACTTTTAATCTCAATAGATTAAAACGATTTTTTTGATTGAACACACTCATAAAATAACAGAGAATTAATTGGTTCCAAAGAAGAACAGCTCAGTGACTTAATGTAGGATGCAGAGTACCTTATCATAAACTAGAGCATGTGTAAAGACTTGCAAGAGGGCATTCCCATGCATATTGCTTTTTTATAAACTTTGTAAAACATAAGCAAAGTATATGTAAAGAGTGTCCACAAAAGATTTGTAGGTAGGCTACAATTTCTTACATTACATATCAGTATAGGAACTGTTACTTTCAACATTATGTTCTATCAACTTACAATGGTTGTATCGGCCTCGATAAAGATTAGTGTTTTAGCCTACACATGACTGTTGCTGAGTTTGTAATCTGAATAGATATTGTTACCCAAAATTAAAATTAAAAAAAAAAAATAGCAGGTACAATGGACCTGGTTAGCTAACACATTCTGGCTTCCTGGTTTCCCGACATTAATCAAATCAGGCTCTTTTTTGTTAGCAAGTTTTGTTACCTATGTATTTCGGCCTTTTTTTTAGTGCAATAAAGACTGAAAATTGATTTTATTAGCGAATTTCCCTATAGGGAAGTAGCTATTACCGTAGGTCTCATAGTAAGACCTAGGCCCGGGACCGATTTACTTTTTCATTTTGATGTCCCCAGAGGCCAAAAACATCATTCATTCAAATTTTGTATATATGTATATATATATGTCCTTCCGCACGATAACTTGAGTAATTTATGTCCAATTTTGATAAAAATTTTTTGAAGGTGTAAGGTGGGATAAACTTGAATGAGTTCGCGACCCAGCATGATCGGACCATGGTAACGGGTTAAACGGGAGGGGGGGGGTTATGGGGTAAAAATGGGTTTTTCTCATATTTTACCCTTAAAACACACGATTTATCAATTTTTCTCCAGACCTTTTTAAAGAGCTTAAAAAAACAAATAATTTTGTATATCAAAGTGTTTTTGTACAATAATTGGTTACGGAGAAAATTTTAAAAAATTGTTAATTTAAAATTCCCATGTTATTCTTATGGAGAATATTATAATATGTTGTAGTTGGCTTGTTTATGGATAAATTTTGATCAAACTTGGCGTTTTCATTTATTTCATACTAAGCTATTGATATTTTAATAAAAAAACACACTTTATTACATTCCCTGTAGCAGCTAACCTAGGTACTCGTTAAATATGTTATTAATGTTAATTTAATAGATTAATAATTAAAAATCAATCCAGAGGCAAATGGAAATTCGCTAAGTCGGCAGGTTTGCTGCAGCGGGGGTATTTCACTAGCTGTTATCCACGGTCTTCACCCTGTTTGACTACATAAGTATTAATAAAATTATTGATTGGTTAAGTTAAGCTGAAATAAATAAAACAGAATACAGTAATACAAACAAATAATCCCACCTGAATTCAATAAGGTAGTAAATTAAATGAATAACAAACAAATAAGTACAGCTGGGGTATTTTTAACATTAGGTAAATGGAAAGTTCCCTTTAGAAAGGAATTACGACCTTAAAGGGCAATTTATGAAATAATGGATAGTTTTGCGCAAGGTTTCTCGTCATGACGAACATTTTAAGTAGGCCTATATAATTTATGGGGGTGTGACTTGTAGTTTTCTCAAAAGTTCATGGGTACTTTGGGATTTATGGACTACTAGCAGAGTACCCGTCCTTCGTACGGGGTTGGAATATAAGTATAAAATGCTTATTACAGTTATACTCAAGCTTTGTGTTTGCAATAAGGGAGGACACAGTTTGATAAAATTTGTTTTTTAAAATTTACATTATTCTATAGTATTACACATCTACCATAGCCTTAATGTTCTAACACTTCACCTAAACAATAGAGAAAAATAAATTATCAACAATTTGCAAAATATCACAAATTATTCATGAAATGAAAAACATAAACATAACTGTAAACAATCCTACTTTGACAGTTCTCATTGCGAATCACAGTTTTTTGTTACTGCTTAGTTCAAATTAGCTGTTTTCATAAATGAAAAAAATTATAGTGCTGCACCCATCTTATAACTTTTTAATGCTTTTCCATATCATAGAACCAACTTTTTTAGTTGAAACAGCTGACTAAATTCTTTAATTCCCTTTAAATACGAATACTCATAAGGTTAACATCAAGGGCGGTTCCAGGGCTAATTTCCGGGGGGGGCCATTCTATCTCGACCACCGGGGGGTGTGGGGGGTATGGAATACCCCCCATTGCGCAAGGGGGGTCCGGGGGTCCTCCCCCGGAAATTTTTGGAAAATTATACTTACAAAGTCGACATTTTAAGCACTCTGACGAAGAAAAAGTTTAATCTCTTGTAATCTGAAAAGGAGAGTTTTAGTAGTGCAAAACTTACCTACTTTGTTCAGTGATACAACTTTGTCTGCTCTACTGTCCCTGTAATTTCACATTATCTATTTTTAAATATTTTGTTTCATAATGCTGACGTGCATTGTATTCCTTCAACAATTATTGTTTCAGAAAATAAAAAAGTTTCTCGCTTACTACATTATTGACGTTGCCTAACCTAACCTAACATTTTTACACAGTTTAAAAGCAAATTGTGAGATTTTAACAATCAAGGGATTTGAGGAACATGAATTTTTGGACAATAATTAGGCTATAGTACCAGTTTTTTTAAATTTAAGTTACATGTAAAACAAAATGGAAATTCAACAGTGAATTCTATGATAATTATCCTTGTTAGATCTTAGGCTATTTACAAAACAAAATCAAGTCGTCTTTCACTCTTTTTGGCAAAACGTTCGATCACTTTTTCAGTATCTACTTCAATATCCCGGTGAACGTGAAGTAGACAAAGACCCGTAAGACGGTACTCCCCCATTCTCGCCCGTAGCCATGTTTTCACTCTCCTCAATGTGGAGAAAGACCTTTCCGCTGTTGCCACACTGACTGAAAAACATTACGTCTGAATTTTATTAACTGTATATATAATATATATATATATATATATAAACTAATAATTGAAAATACACCACAAGCGTCTACAAATTTGAACATAAATTATTAACTGAAGTAAAACTACCCAAGCAGTTGTGGAACAAATAAATAATTATGTTTACGTTTTGTTCGGCTATTTATTAATAAGAGTAATATGCCTCTTATATTTGTTCAAATTTGGGTATTTAAATCCACAATTTTATTGTTAACTCTACTTGTCTACTCCCTTACGGTATTATTTTTATTAGATCGGAGAATCAAAATATTACTAAAAGTGAAATAAAATAAAAACTGTTTTAATAGCTTGTTTACTGTATGCATACGTAACTTAACATAACATTAACATGTGGAAGTTGCGGTGACGAGTTTAATAATTCGGTTATTTCAAGACCCACTTCCACACAACAACTAACTACCGTATCTAGATTGTCGGTACATAAACTAGTTGTCGACGATTTCGTCAAAACTATTATAGTTTTTCAAAAACGGCGTTCTGTTCTGCGGATCTGTCCGCTGCCGACTGCCGTGGCATTGTCGCAATGAAAAAAACACAAACGCAATGAATATTATAACATCGATATTTTACAATCGCTTACTGTTTGTGCCACTGCGACTTTGTTAATGTCTACACATGAGTGGTAGTAAGTTTAATGGCGGTTGCTCAATTTCGAGTCTAAACTAACCTAACTTAGAAAACAACTAAGCCTAGGATTTAAAAACTTTCATGATCAGTACTTACCATTATAATCTTGTCCGGTGCTTGAGCTCAAGACGCTCAAATGGAGATGAACATTGGTTATATCTTGTAAAACTGTGTTTTAATAACAAACACAACAAAAAACGTAACAAATTAACAAAACGAATACTGAGCTGAGCCACAAGTGTAGGTGTAACGTAATGTGGAGGTATGATCGACACGGTGACGTACCGGATGGCAGGAAACGCGGATGCGCGCGGACGCGGTGCCACGCCCACTGCCCAGACTGCATTGCTACAGAGTGCAGAGCGGGGTTTCCCACGATTTTCCAGACACACAGTTTGTCCAAGTCTTTCAACTCTTCAGTGACACTTATAGTCCAACATGCTTATGTGCGTGTAATAGTCTATTCATGTAAATAAAATAAATGTTTAAATAAAAAAAAAAAAAAAAAATCTCGGGGGGGGCCATGGCCCCCATGGCCCCCTCTCTGGAACCGCCACTGGTTAACATGGGGAATTACAGAGCCACTGGGGCGGATCCCGAAAGGATTTTTGAGATAAGAATATGCCAATATGTTAATCGGGAATGTAAGCTATCATCATGCCAAATTTCAGCCCAATCCGTCCAGTGGTTTCCAGTGGAACTTCAAACACACAAATAACAAACAAACAAACACACAAACTTTCACATTCATAATATTAGTAAGATCAGACAGAGTACCCATCCTTCGTACGGGTTTGGCATATAAGTATAAAATATACTTGCAATGGGAGAGATCACGTACGTTATAAGAAAATTTGGTTTACTATAATTTACTATATTATAGTGTAGCACATCTACCATAGCCATAATGTTCTACCACTGCACCTAAACAATAGAAAAAATTAAAGTTCTCACAGCTCTTTGTTGCTGCTTGGTTCAAATTAGCTGTTGTCATAAATGCAAAAAGAATTAATAGAGCGGCACCCTGTTGGTAAACCTTATAACCTTTTAATGCAATTCAATTCATAGAACCAACTTTTGTAGTTGAAACAGCTTGAAAAATTCTTTAATCCCCTTTAAATATGAATACTCATAAGGTTAACATGGGAAATCCTAGAGCCACTGGGGCGGAGCCCGAAATGATTTTTTAGATAAGAATATGTCTATATGTTAATCGGGAATGTGAGCTATCATCATACCAAATTTCAACCAAATCCGACCAGTAGTTAGTGCGTAATTGAACTTAAAACAAACTGAAGTTCCCCTTGTTGCATAGAGAATCCCGTCCTTAGTAGTAAATGGTTTTATATGTTTGATAACGTTCTAATTTAGAACGTTATCAAAGTTATCCATCCACTTTATTGACAAAGTATATACTTTAGCAGTCAAAAATCAATCTCTTACTGTACCAGTAGAAATATACACATACCTATATAAAGTACATACCTTCGCAATGTCTACCATCAGAATGAAGTTCGTAGCCAATTTTACAGGCACACTCATATCCTCCGAGAGTGTTTATACAGTGATGTTCACACCCGTGGTCCAGCAAAGAACATTCATCAAACTCTGTATAACAAAAACTCTTTATGATTATGATAACATTAATTCTATTTTGATGGTTTAATTTTTGTCTTTTTTAATTATTTCCACCTTTGATTTCCTTTTCAACCAATACGTATAAAAGTGGCAAAAGTTCACTTATCATGTTATTTTACTACTTTAAAACAACACCGTTCTGTGTAAATATAACCTTCCATAGGTGGTTTACACAGAGAACTTACACAGAACTTTTGATTTAATCTAACCCAATATGTAGAAGATGAATTGACGTTACGGTACTTAAATCTATATTAATTTGATAACCTTCAAATGTCCAGATAAAACATACAGATTACCTAAATCACACAGATATATATAGAAGAACCATGTAACGGTATTAATCCCAAACAAATACTCTTATAACTTCTAAGAGAGGTTAGGTTTTAATTTATAACTTCTCATTGGCAATGATAGTGAAACAAAAACTCATTGTAGCAACCACTAGTTAACAATTAAATTGGTCTAACAGGTAAGTTGACGAAGCATTGCAATTTTTTTTCTTTACTCTCAATCCTTGAACCTCATTGGGTTGGTTACTAGTTTTGTGAAAAAAAAACAAAAAAAAACAATGCTGTAAAGTGAATCTTTTTAGTTCTAAGAACTAAATTGAAAAGGGTAGTTTAAAAAACCGTTGTAAAGATATTTTCAAGTCTTTCATTCTGTATTACAATTACAAAGCATGTATAATACCTTACCTTTCATGAAGACAGCTGAGAAGCCTGCTTTCTGCACAGAGCTGTCAGACACAAACTTGATGAACAGTTTGTTGCCGGAGGAATGAAGATCTGGAGGTAGTTTGTAGCCACAGAATTTTCCAAGCAAGGGACTATCTTGAGAAGGCCCGTCTCTAACCTCCACATAGTCATACACACAGTTGTCATGGTTCTCCACCTGGTGTGATGAATACAATGTACATGGAATCATATTAGACAATTATTTAACACGTTGAGTACCGCCGTTCCCAATCGGGTACGGTGCTTGGCCCCCGTACGGTGCGTCCGTACCCGATCTTGAACGCTCGGCAATGCCTTTTGTATATCTTTGTTTTTGCTCTAGCGTTGGTCGTGTGTGACTTGCATTTTGTAGTGGTGTAGGTTGGTAGTATAAATTTCCCCGTAAAATCCCGTCTGGCAAGCTTAAAAGTCAACTTTTTATCCCGTCTTTTTCCCTCCATTTGGCAGTTCCAATGGGACCGGCTATGTTCCAAGCAGTGCTGTTATCTGTGGGTGTTAAGTGAACTACGTCGACTCTCGTCGTAAAGCAGGACATCCCCGCACGTTATTTGCTATTTGTCAGACCGAAATTGGAAAGCCAATCACACACGGCAATCGGGTTTGTTTTCGAGGCTGTGGGCTGCGCCGCACTGAGGAAACGCCTGCCATTTGACGTGCCGCAGCGAACATGTTAACAAACACATTTTTATACTTTAGGATGAAATGTACAATGTGGAGGCAAAAATATTTAGTGTCCTAAATATTTAGCTAATTCACCCATATCAATAAGACTTGTTTCTAAGTACTACATGATTATTAACAAAATGCTTTAAAAATGTGGTTATCGATTTGTCTATTGTGGAGATACAGTACAATGCCATGTTATGGCTGATGTCCACAACCTATACCAGAGTACATAGTACAGTCAAAGCAGTTTAAAACAAAGTGAATGGGAAAAGATATGTGTATATTTTTTTAAATATTTAATAGATTCTCCTCGAACAATGTATTAGAGCTATAATATGTGCTTTGATGGCATTACCTCAAAAGACTGGAACTTGAGTGCCACTTGGTAGTCTTGGGGGGCTGCGAGTACCCAAACACACTCTTTGTTAGGCTCATAGTCCTCTGGATAGTTGGGAGATTCGAGAGAGCGCCACTCCTCATCAATCTGTATCTCTCCGCCCCCACACACCGCTAGACAACAAGCAGTCATATTCATGTGTGGGTTAAGGGTGGAATTAATCAAATTTTCCTATTTTTTTTGTATATTTAAAAATCAAATTTCACTGAAACATTGCTAAAGCCCCCTTATTGAAACATCTTAAATTGTTTCAAACTTTTCTCATTCAAAACAAAATTAAAATAGTTTACAGCTTGGTTTATTTACCTATGTGGATCAGTAGACTATTTCTCATTAAAGTAGACCACATGAGAATTGTTCGATGACACTTTGTAATGTCTTGTCAAATTCATGAAAAATTCAAAAGACTGTTTGTCAGTTATTTCCACATTTGTAGGAACTGGAAAATCCTTCATTTTATTACTTAAGTAACATAAATGTTCCACTGGATTTCTTGCTCAAACACACAATCTAGAGGGTGAAAATTAATAATCAAACTCAATGCAATGGAGTGAATATAAATAAATTTCCTGTTTGTGAATTTTAACTACCTATATTATCTGTGACTATTGATACAACAGTATAATTTTATAATTTAGCTATTAATCATAGGTCCGTGAAGTTGGCGTACCCATATAAGCGTATCCACTTTTGATCATACCAATCGTTAGTTCATCGTTAGTTCTCGATAGTTCCCAAATTTTTTCGTTAGTTCTCAAAAAATAAAAAAGTTATAGCCGATTATAAGTGGGTACGCTAACTTCACACTTCCGGGTTCTAGCACGCGCCGTTTTCTGAGGAGAAATGTTTACATCTATATACCAATCGTTAGTTCTTCGTTAGTCCTCGATAGTTCCCAAATTTTTTCGTTAGTTCTCAAAAAATAAAAAAGTTATGAGGCATACAAAGTGGGTACGCTAACTTCACAATTGTACAATTTCCAGCGGGAACAGTTTTTTTACTATAAATGCCTATATCTATATACCAATCGTTAGTTCTTCGTTAGTTCTCGATAGTTCTCCAAAATTAACGTTAATTCTCAAAAAATAAAAAAGTTACGAAGCATAAAAAGTGGGTACGCCAACTTCACAGTTATAGAATTTCCAGCGGGCACAGTTTTTTTTACTATAAATGCCTATATCTATATACCAATCGTTAGTTCTTCGTTAGTTCTCGATAGTTCTCCAATATTTACGTTAGTTCTCAAAAAATAAAAAAGTTAAGAGGCATACAAAGTGGGTACGCCAACTTCACAATTATAGAATTTCCAGCGGGCACAGTTTTTTTACTATAAATACCTATATCTATATACCAATCGTTAGTTCTTCGTTAGTTCTCGATAGTTCTCCAATATTTACGTTAGTTCTCAAAAAATAAAAAAGTAAAGAGGCATACAAAGTGGGTACGCCAACTTCACAATTATAGAATTTCCAGCGGGCACAGTTTTTTTACTATAAATACCTATATCTATATACCAATCGTTAGTTCTTCGTTAGTTCTCGATAGTTCTCCAATATTTACGTTAGTTCTCAAAAAATAAAAAAGTTATGAGGCATACAAAGTGGGTACGCTAACTTCACAATTGTACAATTTCCAGCGGGAACAGTTTTTTTACTATAAATGCCTATATCTATATACCAATCGTTAGTTCTTCGTTAGTTCTCGATAGTTCTCCAAAATTAACGTTAGTTCTCAAAAAATAAAAAAGTTACGAAGCATAAAAAGTGGGTACGCCAACTTCACAGTTATAGAATTTCCAGCGGGCACAGTTTTTTTACTATAAATGCCTATATCTATATACCAATCGTTAGTTCTTCGTTAGTTCTCGATAGTTCTCCAATATTTACGTTAGTTCTCAAAAAATTAAAAAGTTAAGAGGCATACAAAGTGGGTACGCCAACTTCACAATTATAGAATTTCCAGCGGGCACAGTTTTTTTACTATAAATACCTATATCTATATACCAATCGTTAGTTCTTCGTTAGTTCTCGATAGTTCTCCAATATTTACGTTAGTTCTCAAAAAATAAAAAAGTTAAGAGGCATACAAAGTGGGTACGCTAACTTCACAATTGTACAATTTCCAGCGGGAACAGTTTTTTTACTATAAATGCCTATATCTATATACCAATCGTTAGTTCTTCGTTAGTTCTCGATAGTTCTCCAAAATTAACGTTAGTTCTCAAAAAATAAAAAAGTTACGAAGCATAAAAAGTGGGTACGCCAACTTCACAGTTATAGAATTTCCAGCGGGCACAGTTTTTTTACTATAAATGCCTATATCTATATACCAATCGTTAGTTTGTCGTTAGTTCTCGATAGTTCTCCAATTTTTTCGTTAGTTCTCAAAAAATAAAAAAGTTATGAGGCATACAAAGTGGGTACGCTAACTTCACAATTATAGAATATCCAGCGGGCACAGTTTTTTTACTATAAATACCTATATCTATATACCAATCGTTAGTTCTTCGTTAGTTCTCGATAGTTCTCCAATATTTACGTTAGTTCTCAAAAAATAAAAAAGTTAAGAGGCATACAAAGTGGGTACGCTAACTTCACAATTGTACAATTTCCAGCGGGAACAGTTTTTTTACTATAAATGCCTATATCTATATGCCAATCGTTAGTTCTTCGTTAGTTCTCGATAGTTCTCCAATATTTGCGTTAGTTCTCAAAAAATGAAAAAGTTACGAAGCATAAAAAGTGGGTACGCCAACTTCACAATTATAGAATTTCCAGCGGGCACAGTTTTTTTTTTAAATAAAAATGCTTACATCTATATACCAATCGTTAGTTCTTTGTTAGTTCTCGATAGTTCTCCAATATTTACGTTAGTTCTAAAAAAAAATAAAAAAGTTACGAGGCATACAAAGTGAGTACGCTGACTTCAAAATTATAAAATTTCCAGCGGGCACCGTTTTCCGACTAAAAACGCTTAAATCTATATACCAATTTTTAGTTCCATGCATTGTAATTTGATTCATCTTCACACAATGAAAATCAAAGTAACACTGACATTAGAATAACTATCACATTATGATTCTCTCGAAGAGAAAGGATTGCTTATCAGTTCCAGGATAGCGCTTATCTGTGATATCCGCAATAGTAGTTGCAGGTGTCACTCGGTTAGATTATTTTTTAGGAGTTATAATTTTGATTACGTTATCAAAATGATTAACAGTTGAATATGTTCAGATAATTAGAACATCCAAAAACGACAACGCTTCCGAAAATTGGTTTTAGATAAGCAATGAAATCATATTTATACCTACTTAGTTGTGTGAAAAAGTGCATTTTATAAAAAGTCCATCATGGAAACAAAATAAACTATCCATCAAAATGAAAACCAGAGTCTGCTAAGTAAAATGGTATAAAGTAATTTATAAGCAGTGATTATTTGAATTGGATTAAGCAGATAAAATATGTACGATCAAAGAACTTCTGTTTGGTTAATTAAACTAATCGTTTGTATTGTTTGTATTTGTTTGTGTTCGGTATTAGTATTATAAAATTACATCATTAAACGTAACACGTTACGAGTGACAGTTGCACGGATCGAGACTGGAAGGTCATACGGACTTGAACAAACTGGAGACTGGAGTAGTGGATGGAATAAATGTGTACAACACATTACTAGCATGGCGTATTGGGTATGGCGGGGTCGAGACAATATTTATTTAGTTGTATAGTAGTATACTGTAAGCATTTTTCGTTGAATGAAGGTGCGCGCTGGAAATCAGAAGCATTAAATAAGTTGATCTATTGATTATTGGCTATACGTATATTTATTTAATTTTTTTAGAACTAACAAAATAAATGAGTGAGCCCATCTTACGATTAATATTAAGATATAGGCACTTTAGTCAGACAAGGGTGCACGCTAGGAATGATTTGGGTTTGAGGTTGGCATAACCACGTTTAAGACCTTATTGCCTTTTTATTTAATTGTGAAATTAGCGAACCCTCTTTGTATGCCTCGTAACTTTTTTATTTTTTGAGAACTAACGTAAATATTGGAGAACTATCGAGAACTAACGAAGAACTAACGATTGGTATATAGATATAGGTATTTATAGTAAAAAAACTGTGCCCGCTGGAAATTCTATAATTGTGAAGTGTGCGTACCCACTTTGTATGCCTCTTAACTTTTTTATTTTTTGAGAACTAACGTTAATATTGGAGAACTATCGAGAACTAACGAAGAACTAACGATTGGTATATAGATATAGGCATTTATAGTAAAAAAACTGTGCCCGCTGGAAATTCTATAACTGTGAAGTTGGCGTACCCACTTTTTATGCTTCGTAACTTTTTTATTTTTTGAGAACTAACGTTAATTTTGGAGAACTATCGAGAACTAACGAAGAACTAACGATTGGTATATAGATATAGGTATTTATAGTAAAAAAACTGTGCCCGCTGGAAATTCTATAATTGTGAAGTGTGCGTACCCACTTTGTATGCCTCTTAACTTTTTTATTTTTTGAGAACTAACGTTAATATTGGAGAACTATCGAGAACTAACGAAGAACTAACAATTGGTATATAGATATAGGCATTTATAGTAAAAAAACTGTTCCCGCTGGAAATTGTACAATTGTGAAGTTAGCGTACCCACTTTGTATGCCTCTTAACTTTTTTATTTTTTGAGAACTAACGTTAATATTGGAGAACTATCGAGAACTAATGAAGAACTAACGATTGGTATATAGATATAGGTATTTATAGTAAAAAAACTGTGCCCGCTGGAAATTCTATAATTGTGAAGTTGGCGTACCCACTTTGTATGCCTCTTAACTTTTTTATTTTTTGAGAACTAACGTAAATATTGGAGAACTATCGAGAACTAACGAAGAACTAACGATTGGTATATAGTTATAGTCATTTATAGTAAAAAAAACTGTGCCCGCTGGAAATTCTATAACTGTGAAGTTGGCGTACCCACTTTTTATGCTTCGTAACTTTTTTATTTTTTGAGAACTAACGTTAATTTTGGAGAACTATCGAGAACTAACGAAGAACTAACGATTGGTATATAGATATAGGCATTTATAGTAAAAAAAACTGTTCCCGCTGGAAATTGTACAATTGTGAAGTTAGCGTACCCACTTTGTATGCCTCATAACTTTTTTATTTTTTGAGAACTAACGAAAAAATTTGGGAACTATCGAGGACTAACGAAGAACTAACGATTGGTATATAGATGTAAACATTTCTCCTCAGAAAACGGCGCGTGCTAGAACCCGGAAGTGTGAAGTTAGCGTACCCACTTATAATCGGCTATAACTTTTTTATTTTTTGAGAACTAACGAAAACATTTGGGAACTATCGAGAACTAACGATGAACTAACGATTGGTATGATCAAAAGTTGATACGCTAATATGGGTACGCCAACTTCACGGACCTATTAATCATAGATAAAACATACTCCCTTAGTAGATTTCTCATCCTTATGGAACAGCTGAAGAGAATTTTATTGTTAGTTCATGTACGGTTTATGTAGAGGTCGTGTTTTGTTTACAATTTGTTTCCCGTTATTAAACCCATTTAAAACCTCGCTTAACCAAATAATACGATCTAATCATAAACAATAACTTGTCCCCTAGTTATATAACCAAACAGTAAAGCAGATATCAAGAAATTAACCCTAAAATAATTGAAACAAAGTTTCATCGACACTAGCGCCTTTGTGTCACGTACATGAACTAGACACGAAAAAGGTGCTTCAAAATTTACAATGGGATGAGAAGTCTACTTGTGTTGGTTAGTCTATGTATTAATTATTAGCTATTTAGTTTGAACTATTATTTACTAATTCCTATCAAAACATGTACCATAACATTTTATAACTATTTTATGTATCATATGTTAAGTTCAAAAACTAATCTATCTATCTATTAATAGGCAAGCATGTTTCTTTAAAACCTTTTTTCTCAGCTCGTGTGCATCGTGGGGTAAATCTACGCATACCGTTAGAAAGCTATTTTCCTGTAGGTGTGCAGAATCCGTTTATAAATTTAAATAGGCTCAAAGATAAACACAAAAAATGAGTTTAAAAATTTGAAAAAATTAACATGGATCTTATGCGTTGCCATGCTGGTGACGAAATAACAACGAAATATAAACAGAAAATCAAAACAAATGGAAGAAACTCCAATCACATGTTTTATTTACAGTGTGGGGTGAAAATAGAGAAGTGAGTAAGTTTACATTACATATTTTTGGTCGAGTTTCGACCACTGGACGACCTCTCGTACTTATTTAATACGCAAGCAGGATTTTTGTGACAATTACTCCTCCGAAACTACTGAACCGATTGACATGTTTTTGGTGCCATTGGAAAGAGCGTAACGTGAAGTTGTGCAGGAAACTTTCTTTTTAGAGAAATAATTAGAGAGTGAGGCCCTGGGGCCCTTTAAAGTTTCGTATTTCTCCATAAGATTAACATGGGAAACAAACATTGTTTTGAAACTCCAGCTGTTGTCAGAAATTAAATATTAATAATTGGTCTCCATGGAAGCATGAGAAAATTCACAATGTTTACATTTGCTTTGACATTTAAATGTAAACAACCAGAACTGTCAAATGCCTATTTCAAAATTTTAGACAGCTGATCCAAAAAAATTAAACAACTATGTGGTAGGTTTATTTAATCTCAACCTTTATGATAGATTATTTATTATAAATCTATTTCAATGATTATGAAACATATTTTTCCCGTTGCGAAGCAAAGTTAATAGTGAGAAGAAGAACGTTAATTGTAAACAGTCAATGTGTAAATGATCTATTTTGTATTAAAAATGTGCATAGTTTTGTATGTTGGTTTGTGTTTAATTATATAAGTTATTAGTTATTGAATTTTTATTTTAAGGATTTGGCATATGAGTAAGCCTATGATAAATAACACCATTTCAGAGTTCTGCCAGTTTTTGCCTAACTCTGTCCTGAAGAGTTTAAAGTATCCTACACCTTATTGTCTACAAATTGGCTAAATAACTTAGGATAAAAGCTGGCAGACTTTTTACGTTGACTTAAATTGTAAGCTTACCTTTTCCCGTCCATGGGCAGTTTAATTGTTAAAAATTAACCCTTTAAACTGGAATAGGACTGTAATTGTGAGTACTTCCATTAGTTATTATTAACTATAAGAGAACTATAAGAGACTATAAGATTATTAATCTTATAGTTGACTCTTTTAAAATCATCAGAAATTATGACTGTTATTAGTTTTTAAACAAGTTATTTGTTTATAAATAACTCCTGTACTTCTTTGCAATTGCTCGATTTCGAGCAACATGTACACTAGTGTCAGGGCCGGATTTAGCATTTTTGCGCCCCTAGGCCCAAATAATTTTCCGCCCCCTAGTCTGGTCACAGTTACTTTCCTTCAAACCTTTTTAAAAACTATATCACGCCCATAGGCCTAAGTTAATTGCTTGAATACCACTTCTCGCCGGAATCATTGCAAGTTTTTTGTATTGATTGTTTAGCCTTAACAAAAACACTGTTAGCAATTTTATGCTTTTAATGTTTTGTTTTAATAAATGCTCACGTTTGTGGCCGTGGGACTGAAAAAAACAACTCATACCACCGAGAATTCCTGAAAAAAAAACCAAAAAAAAAACATGGCCATTGATTCCAATTCCAGGCCCAAAAACCTGAACTCCATACAGTATGTGATACCATAGATTAAACATAGGCTACTCCTTTAGTAGATTTGTCATAATTTTGGATTAGCTGAAAACAATTCTTGTTATTTAAGGAGTATGTTTTATCTATGTTTAAACCTAGTTTATCCAAAATAAAACGATCTAATCATCAACAATCGCCTCCTGTTTATATTACAAGAAATTAAAACACACATCATAGAACTAACCCTAAAAAAATAGAAACAAAATTACGTCAAAACTAACGTCCAGTATCACCAACATGAACAAAACATGAACAAATTTTGAATTAACAATGTCATAAGAAGTCGACTTGAGTTATATTTAATCTATGGTCGTACTGCATCTAGGTTATATTTCCAAAGCAAAACAGAGCAATACTCCTGCCAACCATACCGATCCTTAGGTCTGAGGAGAAAATTACAGCATAATTGGTGCTTTGGAGGGTATTGAATGTTTCTAAAATCTAATGCAAACTGAGATTAATATTTTTTTGTTAAATATAAACGTAAATTAATCGTTTTAATATTCAACACAACGTATTATATATTTTAACTTGATCCTGCAGATTGTTGTAAACTAATCAAAAGATTAATTAATAACTTTTGTTTTGTGGTAACAATGTCTAGCACGCTTGCGCCCCCAATCACAATGATCAGTAGTGCCGAGCCCGAGCCTGAGCCAGCGGAGCCAGCATAGTGGCAGTGCAGTGGCAATACGATGCGTACCCTTTGGGCGCTCGTCAACGTCAACATTCCTACAGCCTACTCCCGTATAACCAATGTTCGTTAGCAATTTTGTAACGAAATTGATGCGTAATTCTGAAAAATATTTTAAATTTCATAACAATAATTTCTTCTTATGAACTTCGGAAGTTTTTTTGATCAAATATGACTATTTATTTTTATTTTTAGATAGCCAATAAAAAATTCCTCTTGGCCGTGCGCCCTCTGGGACCTTGCGCCCATAGGCCCGGGCCTACCGGGCCTATTGGGAAATCCGGCCCTGACTAGTGTATAGTTTAAAATCCATCCTCACCTTCATAGATTGCCTTGAAGCCTCGGTGCTCCGATGTGCCTGAAGTGATGTAGGTGATGAGCATGCGACTGCCGGCCGATACTATTGGCTCATAGATACGACCACTGCCACAGTAGCGGCCTAAGAACCATCAGTTGGATAATTGATTGATAAAATAACACCCTTCATTCTTTCCTTATCCAATTGTGATACAGAGTTGAAATTATTGAGACATATTAATGTTGAAAACTGATTATGATTTTCATTACTGTTGAGTTTACAAGTGAATGGTCAACTTCATAAAGTTAGACCTAAGCAGAGAGTTTTTCAGTTGTAAGGTTTTCAGGCCCCTGGGTTAGGGTTTATTGTATCTTAAAGAAAACTCTCAACAAACATTGAAGCTGTAGTGAGTGAGTTGTTAAAATATGTCAGATGCAGGCTTCTGCCTTCCTTTGTGTTTGTGTACACAGTTAGTTTATAGTTATAATTTGTTTCATAAAAATACCCTTTTCTTATTTTCTGTCCTCGGCTTTGCTTCGGTCGTGAAATTGTCGAAAATAGTCACTTAAGCCAAAGTGATGAAATATATCAGAGTGCTTGTGTGTTACCTAGTAAAGGAGACTTATGCCAGTAACCATCTCTGATCTCAATGTAGTCTGTGCGGCAGTTGTCTGACTTGAGGATGTCGAGGTCGGTTATGTTGAGGACAATCATCTCTCCGTGGGTGGCAGTGATGCGCCACTCACAGCGATGTCCGAGACTCTCCTCTGATAGGCCGGTGTGCTGCAGCTCATAGTCTGGTGACGTGATCACAGCTGAGTTCTCCTGATAGGTGCGACCGCATCCTGCAATGTATCACAGCTAAAGAGATCAGATGCTTCGGTATGTGTTAATAATTTACTGTTGGATACTCAAGTAGACATTTATATGGACTAGCTGTAGCCAACTTTGATAAAAAAGAACATAGTTGAAATGCCCATTCACAGTGTTTGCTAAGTCTAAAATTGTATACTTCCTCCCTTAGCTTTCATTACTGATAAAGTCTGTGTGAAATAAAAGACAAGGCAGTTTACAGTAAATTTTCCTTTCAGTTTGGCTTGGAAAAATGTTTACGTAATAAACAGAAATCAATAATTTGCATTAAGACACTATGCCGATGGCTTAATTTTTTTTAAACTAGCTACAACTTTAAAATGAGAGTGTTTATAATATCTAGTACCATCCATATTCAAAGATTTAAAAAATGTTAATAGATTAAAATTTGATACCGTACTTCCATGTTTAAGAATTTTGGATGAAGAAATATTTTAATGATTTTTTTTCATTGAAGGGAATGGATTGATATTGGTATTGATATTGGCTGTTTCAATCCCCATACTTACAAATAGTAATGTTATACACAACAGTTTCAATCCTTTTATACTGTATGAATATTAAAATATTATGTTTGTCATACAATTTGAATTGGTTTGATGTCTATAGTTGTTAAATAATATTACACAAAATAATAAAATCTCTGGTTGTGTTTTTTAGCACCAGTATCCATATAACTTAAATTTGGAAACATACAGGGTGAATTTTAAATGAGTTCCCCCCCTACTTTTTTCTACATTTCATAAGATATCATCTCCGGACCACGTCAGATCATTGTTGAGTAGTAAGTACTTCATTTTGACTGGGTATACATTTTTGGCCGCCATCTTGGATCCGCCATATTGGATACAAAGTTTTTTTTTCAAATGTAAAGGTAGGGTTGTGACCCATTATTTCAAACTAGAATTTTACGCTGATTACAATGCCGCAATTAGTTTTTAAAAATCTTGATCCGTTCTAAAGTTATGAGGACTTTTTATAACTTTATTTTTAGTGCATTTTAACATTGTGCATTTACAAACTAAGACCATAATCTCAAAATTGTGCTAGATAAAGATAAGTATACACCACCATTCATTGCCGACATATTTTCACTTGGTTATGACGGATGTAGTTTTTTCAGCCGCCATCTTGGATCCGCCATTTTGAAATGTGATCAATTAATTTAAATATGAAGGTGGTGTTGTGACCCATCATTTTGAGCTACCTTTTTATGCTGAACTCAATGCCGCAATCCGTTTTTCATTTTCATCTTTGGTTTTTGAAATATTGAAATTTTAAATAAGACTATTTTAATATTTCATCAAGACAGCTTGATAACCAAAAATGGATTGCAGCATTGAGTCCAGTATAAAAAAGTAGTTCAAAATGATGGGTCACAACACCACCTTCATATTTAAATTAATTGATCACATTTCAAAATGGCGGATCCAAGATGGCGGCTGAAAAACTACATCCGTCATAACCAAGTGAAAATATGTCGGCAATGAATGGTGGTGTATACTTATCTTTATCTAGCACTATTTTGAGATTATGGTCTTAGTTTGTAAATGCACAATGTTAAAATGCGCTAAAAATAAAGTTATAAAAAGTCCTCATAACTTTAGAACGGATCAAGATTTTTAAAAACTAATTGCGGCATTGTAATCAGCGTAAAATTCTAGTTTGAAATAATGGGTCACAACCCTACCTTTACATTTGAAAAAAAAACTTTGTATCCAATATGGCGGATCCAAGATGGCGGCCAAAAATGTATACCCAGTCAAAATGAAGTACTTACTACTCAACAATGATCTGACGTGGTCCGGAGATGATATCTTAAGAAATGCAGAAAAAAGTAGGGGGGGAACTCATTTAAAATTCACCCTGTATAGATTACATAGATAGGCTAAGACTTGTTTTAAAGATTTTTATAGTCAAGGTAATGTTTCTGAGAAAGCTATTGAATTTCTAGATTTCTAGATATTCACATACATAAAAAAACAACCATCATCCAGATTAACCTTTTTTAAAAATGTTATGTTATTTTCAATGAATTTGCTTTCAACTATCAATAATTGTTCTGATATCTGAACCAGTTCTGTCAATCTTATTTAGGCCGTTGACCTTAATTAACAATAAATGTCATGTCTCTGGATGAAGAGTGTTACAACATGGCCTGTTATTGTTACACAACCAAACTTCCTAGTCACTAGTCAGATGGTGGTAAGCTATCATTATGGTTCAATAATCAATCCATGAACTTCATGCACTCAGGGGCGCATTTTTCCATCCACGCTTTTTTTTAGCTTGAGGTCTTCACAACTGGTTTGCTCTGTTTAACATACTGATAGTATCATAGATGTCTAACAACACAATTAATGTGATATATCCAACTTCTTTATCCAGCCTTGACATTATTTACTTTGTAAAAAATGGGTCTCTTGTGTAAATTTAGCAACACTAATCTTTCACAACTACAGTATTTTATATGATCCAAGCCTAGGGAGCAGGGAGAGGCTAAAGCCCTTACATTGTATGGCCTACACATTGCAGCCAAAGTGTTGTATAAAAAATATGTTAGGTACATTTAAACAGTAATGCATAAGGCATCTGATTTCTTAACTTGTATAACAAAAAACCATCCCTTTTTAAAATAAGGTAAAGACAGAGAAATTGTAAGTATTTTTCTGAAATCATTTCTATTAACCACTTGAATGATATGCTCAACAATAATTTTAATTGGGCTGATACTTGAGCCAAGACATGATAAGTGGGTTATCTGAAATCTAACTGACTTATCAAGTGACAATGATCCCAAACTACCCTCATTCCCATCTATTTTGTGTCAGTTCCATATACATTATATTAAATTAATTTACTAGTTGTTTAACTGTATGTTTTTTTACAGAAGTGATGAATTTATAGAATAGCTTAAGATGTTCTAAAAAATAGCTTCTTGATTGTATAAAATAACTTTCAGCATTGCACATTGTAGCCTACATCATAGATAAAACATACTCCCTTAGTAGATTTCTCATCCTTATGGAACAGCTGAAGACAATTTTATTGTTAGTTCATGTACGGTTTATGTAGAGGTCGTGTTTTGTTTACAATTTGTTTCCCGTTATTACAGCCATTTAAAATCTTGTTTAACCAAATAATACGATCTAATCATAAACAATAACTTGTCCCCTGGTTATATAACCAAACAGTAAAGCACAAATCAAGAAATTAACCCTAAAATAATGGAAACAAAGTTTCATCGACACTAGCGCCTTTGTGTCACGTACATGAACTAGACACGAAAAACGTGCTTAAAAATTTACAATGGGATGAGAAGTCTACTTGTGTTGGTTAGTCTATGCCTACATGTTCTTAAATTTACAGAAAGTAGATAAAAATATGTATAATACTGTAATACTTGAAACATAATTTACTGGCTTGTGAGTCAACAGTAAAAGTGTAAATGTTTGTTACTTAAGTGTTATTAGAAGTTTGTTATTACTTTCTGTACTAAAAACAGCACTAAGGAATTACTGCAATGGTGATCAACAACATTATTAATTAGGCTAATGTTTTCATATTCTGCATATTTTTTGCAAGACAGAGTAAAGCGTTGCCCCTGAAACTTGCAACATATAACCAAAGCATTATTTTATCTTGTATGTTTATTGACAACATGTCTACAAATCATGATCAAAACTAGCCCCAATCTGCAGTTTTATCAAACCAATTTGTTTTTAATAAATTATATTCATGAAATGATTAGTTAACATAGTAAGTATGATGAACCAGCCTATATAGAAATTCATTAACCTTTTCTTATCTTATAAAGTATTCCCTTGTTAGATTAGAGCCACAAACAACTGATTGCCACAAGTAGTCACAGTTATTTAAAGATGGATCCATACCTACGGTAATCAAAAAATAAACTAATTAATGATGTTCTAGCAACAAGCTCATAAGTTTTAGAATCAATAATAGAAAATTAATAAGTTTTAGATAAATAAAATTAATTAAAATTAAAAACATACTGTACTACACTTTTACTTTGCACCTTTCTTCTCCTGATAAAATTCATATACAAATCACAAACGAAACTATAGTAACTACTGTATAAACTTAATAGCAAAAATGTCATTCAGTCGTTCTTTAGGTGCAATAGGTAATAGGAAAACACTATCCTGAATTGCTAAAAAGTTGTATATCCATTTTAACCTACGGTAGCACTTGTAGAGCAGGTTAGTCTGGGCAATATCTCCCTCACTGAGTCTGATTCTCTGACCAATCTCTGGCCTCCGCTTGTAACCTCCCCTGGAGTAGTCTATGGGCTGGATGGTGTCCAGGTATGTACCCTACAACATACAATAGTCTAGTATACATGTAGAGCAGGTTAGTCTGGGCAATATCTCCCTCACTGAGTCTGATTCTCTGACCAATCTCTGGCCTCCGCTTGTAACCTCCCCTGGAGTAGTCTATGGGCTGGATGGTGTCCAGGTATGTACCCTACAACATACAATAGTCTAGTATACATGTAGAGCAGGTTAGTCTGGGCAATATCTCCCTCACTGAGTCTGATTCTCTGGCCAATCTCTGGCCTCCGCTTGTAACCTCCCCTGGAGTAGTCTATGGGCTGGATGGTGTCCAGGTATGTACCCTACAACATACAATAGTCTAGTATACATGTAGAGCAGGTTAGTCTGGGCAATATCTCCCTCACTGAGTCTGATTCTCTGGCCAATCTCTGGCCTCCGCTTGTAACCTCCCCTGGAGTAGTCTATGGGCTGGATGGTGTCCAGGTATGTACCCTACAACATACAATAGTCTAGTATACATGTAGAGCAGGTTAGTCTGGGCAATATCTCCCTCACTGAGTCTGATTTCCTGACCAATCTCTGGTCTCGGCTTGTAACCTCCCGACAACAGAGAGTCTAGTTTTGTCTATGGGCTGGATTGTGTCCAGGTATGTACCCTACAACATACAGTTGTAAAATTACTTTTACACAACATCTTTTTACTATGACTCTCTGCAAAATTTGCTCATAAGTCTTCATATAATATAGGTTTTTACCTGACAAAAACATAAATAACAAAGTAACCTACATAAAATCTGTTTAGTTAAAAGTTTAATGTTCATTCTTGTAAATAAACAAATTAATTTTAATTTTTCAATGTATATTTCAATGAAAGAAAAAATGTATTTGAGTAAAAGCCTGCCTCTTTTATCCCAAATTTATAATATGCTACTGACACTTAAGATAGCTTACTTTGAAAATGTAGGCCTAAACATTATAGCCTTCTAACGCCTGTTTTGAAAATGTTAAACCTGTGGGATAACTCAAACAATAAACTATAATGCGACAATTGTATCTAAAATGACATTTTACATAACACAGCTTTTGCTACTGCTCTCCTCAGGACAGGGCTCCCAGGACCAACTCTAGTAACATATGTGTAGGGCATCCCGGTTTGTATAAAACTCCCCTGAAGTAAAAAAAAAAACATCTTCTATCAATAATATGTGTTCAGTAATATTCAGTATAATTAACTTTGTTATAATAATGCTTTCTATCAACTAAAAATAAATACAGGTGGCATTGGTTTTTAATTTGGTTTAATGTTTAAAACAACATATGTGATTTAACAATGAAATAATTTATTAGTAATTTTGTTAGTTGAAAAAAAACAAACACATCAAGACTCAAGATCCCTCTCTCTTTTGTAATCTCTCTTTAAAGTTCTGTAAAATCATTGAAAGTTTATTTGTTAATATTAAAAGTATTTGTTAATTGTATCTCAGTGTTCTAATTTGAAGAATGAAAACTCCGCTTAACTTATAAATACAGTCCACTCCACAGGCTATCGAAATTCTACATGGTCCTTCGAGCCGGATCATCTGAAACTCAGCTCTTTTGGTAACTATAAGTCACAATTAGTTCTACTCAAACTCCAACTTGCAACCTTAAAAATGAACTACTCACTCCTTTCTCATCAGTAAGAAGTAAGAAGACTATCAAGACTACTGTAGATCTAAAAGGTCAATATCTAAAGGACTTTGATTCAAACTTTGATTCCTCTATATTTTATGCATATTGTTTTTGTTGTAATTTATTAATTGACATTTCAATTTGTATCAAACTGTACAATTTGGTATTTTGTAATGCTCATAGCAACCACTAGCACTAATGTAACAATGCCATCTGTTATCTGTGTCTCGTATTGCAGAAAATAATGACAATCTCTAATCTCTCTCCCTCTGAGTACTCAGAATAATTGTTTTGTTGTACAACAAAAATGAAATTCGTCACCCTCTCTAGGCAATTAAACTCAATTGCGAATCGTTTAGCCAAAATCCAAACTAACATCCAAGCTTTAGATTTATTACCTGAATTGTCCCAAGAACAAATAAATAAGTTGAAACTTTTAGAGTCAGAAACACTTAGAAAATACTCAGAATTTGAAACCTCCCTTGAGAAACTATTCAATAGTGACACGCTTCCCGATGATTATGAAGAAGATACACTCTTTCAATTACAAGATACTATATCTGACTTATATGTAGGAATTCAAACTCTCACGAAGAAACACCTTTCTCAAGATCCTACAAGTCATAGGCCTGTTCTAAACACTGACTCAATAACAAATACTCCATCAAGTAGCCTACCCCATAGGCCTAGTAGCTCTTCCTCAAACCAAGATAGCCACTCACTAAAACTCCCTCCTCTATCTCTCAAAACTTTCAATGGTTCACCGGAACAATGGTTATCTTATGTTAGCCTGTTTCAAGTATCTGTTCATGATAATGAAAACATATCCAAAGTTGAGCGATTTCAATATCTGCTTTCTACTCTACAGGGAGAACCTTTCAATCTTATAAAGAATTTACCAATCACAGCTGAAAACTATGATGTAGCATGGGATCTTCTTCAAAAACGGTATCAAAACAGTAGGAAAATCATAAGCATACACCTCAACAACATAATAGACTTACCTAACCTAAGTGACTCCTCCCTCAAGAACATTCGCTCGTTCATTTCTCAGTATAACGAAAATGCCCAAGCACTCATTGCACTCAATCATGACATAGCCAAGGATAATATCTTGCTCTCAGCCATGTTACTAAGGAAATTACACGCAGACATTCGCAAAAAGTTTGAAAGCTTACGTCTAAATTCTCAAGACCTTCCAACCGTAGGTGAAGCAATAACATTTTTAGAAAATGAATGTGCTTACTTAGAAGCTGCTAACCTCTCTAACTCTCAGTTCCCTAGAACTACTTCAAGCAATAGCAATGTAGGTTTCACTCAAAATAGTAAGAGGTCCAGCCCTCACTCCTCTCAGATAGGCCTACATAAGTCTACACCGAACCGCACTACTTTACTAGCTTTCAGAGACTCAAACGCCACATGCACATTTTGTAGTAAAAGTGATCACAACATTTACCAATGCTCAGAGTTTAAAGATTTGTCCGTACAGGAAAGATACAATTTTGTGAGGAAAAACCACCTCTGTTTGAACTGCTTAGGTACCGCTCATTCTGTCAAAGACTGTAAGTCAAATAAAACATGTTTTCACTGTAAACTGAAACATCACTCCCTCTTACATCAAACTAATAATAGGCCTAATGATAAGCTTAACCAAAAGCCTAAAGATAATGCTCCAACGCCCAAGGAAATGAATAAAACTTATGATCACCCTGAACCTCCCTTTGTAGCTGTCTCCTCAAACCCTAATACCACTATATTGCTAGCCACTGCATTGGTACACTTGAAAGCTAATAACGGTAACACAGTTGTAGCCCGAGCCGTTATTGACTCCGCATCTATGGTAAGCTGCGTAACAGAAAATATTGCTAACCTGCTTATGCTTAAACGGACATTTTCCAGTAATTCCAAGATAGATGGCCTATCATCAGTAGAAGTTAAATCTAAAGGTGTGTCAAAAGTTAACATATCGTCTCTTAGCGGAGAAATGATTGCTGATAACAACCCAGTCCTTATTCTAGACAGAATAACCTCAAACCTCCCACACTCAGAAGTTCCAGTTAATGTTAAAGAATACTTCAAACATTTGGTCCTGGCTGATCCAACTTTTCATTTGCCTAGTAAGATAGATGTGCTCATAGGTGCTGATCTATTCGCTAAAGTAATCACTGGTGAACGCATTATCCTTAACAAGGATCTTCCTGCTGCCATGAATTCTGTATTTGGATATCTTATCATAGGATCTGCCCCAACTCTTCCTGCTGTAGTCCCTCACAAAACAGCCCCTCAATGCAAGGGTAATCTTTCTTCTTTATTAAGTACTCAAGATATTGATTTGCACAATTCTCTGCAGAAATTTTGGACTCTAGAGGAACCTCCCATCAAACATCATATTACATCTGAACAAGAAATTTGTGAAAATCACTTTCTAAACACGGTCTCTAGGGATTCAGATGGACGCTACTTTGTTAGGCTACCCATAAAAGAAAATCATCCCCCTCTTGGTGACTCATCATTTTGCGCTCGTAATAGATTCCTATCACTTGAAAGAAAATTAGAAAGTCAGCCTGAAGTTAAAGCAGAGTATAGTAAAGCCATACATGATTTATTGTCATCTAGTCACATGGAACCTGTTAACCCTCCTCCAAACAGTGATAATAAACAATTTTACTTACCTCACCATGCTATTGTCAAAGTAGAATCCTCAACCACCAAGCTTCGTGTAGTATACGATGCAAGCGCACGCAGCTCCTCAGGTGTCAGCCTTAACGATATTCTACATACCGGGCCAAAACTACATAATGATCTTAATGATATTCTGTTAAAGTTTAGACTTTCCCCTATTGTCTTCTCATGTGACATCAAACAAATGTTTCGTCAAATAATGATCCACCCAGATGATAGAAACTATCAAATGTTGTATTGGAGAGATGACAAAGACGACCCCCTTTCAGTTTACCGTTTAACTACAGTTGTGTTTGGATTCAACTGCTCACCCTACTTGGCACTAAGGACACTTCACCAACTTATCACTGATGAAGGCGCAAACTTCCCTCTGGCAGCTGAGGCTTTAAAGAAACAAGTATATGTAGATGATTTAATATTAGGTGCCAACAGCATAGAACAAGCTTTGGTACTAAGAAATGAGGTGGAACAACTTCTTTTAAAAGGATGTTTCGAACTGAGGAAATGGACTAGCAACTGCCCTCAAATCATGGAAACTCTCCCCGACTCTTACAAAGAAACTCCTCTATATTTCAACTCCTCAGATCAACCTTATTTCAAGGTACTAGGTATAAAATGGTCACCTAACTCAGACACTTTCTCTTATCAGTTGAATATCCCAGATACACCTCCCACTAAACGAGGTA